ATTGTATGCTGTAGCATTAAGATTTCCCTTCATTGAAACTAAGGGGCATAGCCCGAACCATAAAAAACAGCCCCAGACCATTATTCCTCCTCCACCAAACTTTATAGATGGCACTATGCATTGGGTGGGTAGAGTTCTCCAAACCCAGATTAGTCCGTCGGACTGCCAGATGGTGAAGCGTAATTCATCACTCCACAGAACGCGTTTCCACTGCTCCAGAGTCCAATGGCGGCTAGCTTTACACTACTCCAGCCAATGCTTGGCATTGCGCATTGTGATTTTAGGCTTGTGTGCGGCTGCTCGGCCATGGAAACCCATTTCATGAAGCCCCCGATGAACAGTTATTGTGCTGACGTTGCTTCCAGAGGCAGTTTGGAACTCGGTAGTGAGTGTTACAACCGAGCACAGACGATATTTATGCGCTAAGCGCTTCAGCACACGGCGGTCCTGTTCTGTGAGCTTGTGTGGCCTACCATTTCGCGGCTGAGCCGTTGTTGCTCCTAGATGTTTCCACTTCACAATAACAGCACTTACAGTTGACTGGGGCAGCTCTAGCAGGGCAGAAATTTAACAAACTGACTTGTTGGAAAGGTGGCATCCTATGACGGTGCCACTTTGAAAGTCACTGAGCTCTTCCGTACAGGCCATTCTACTGCCAATGTTTGTCTGTGGAGATTGCATGTCTGCCCTGAATCTTTTGCGCTGCTGCTGCTGGAAAAAAATACATCAACTGAATGCGCTGCTTAGTTCATAGAACCGTGGTTACGTGAAACTCCCAAAGTCATCCAACCGTTATAATAAATGTAAAGCAATTGTTGTGTGTGGTCAAATAGATGGTCATTTGAGCACCGGTTTGATTGAGACGAGCATGGGGGCTTGTCTTTATAAATCAATCAATGCCAGATTTTTGTTTTTACTGAATCTCTGTTTGGATATTTGGTTACAATTAGGCTGGGAAATATTAGCTAAGTTGAGGTGAGTACTCATGATCATTCGTCTAGCAAATTGAAAGCAATGCAGATCTTCTCTACACACACAATTAGGCCTATATACCCTACCTGATGAGCTTTGCTGATGTTTTCCTGAACTTTCCAATACTTTTCTAATGCATTTTGGTCACAGCCTACCAATGCGATTTTTACACTTACCATTGGCTATTCAAGTCATTTATCATATTTTCTTATTAGCCTTATGAATATAGAAACTGTGCTACCATGATTAAAAAGTTAATAAGGCCTACATCGTTTCTATAACTATATAGCTGAAACCATTATTGTCTCAACAGGAAAAAAAAGCGATTAGATAGAATCACTTGAGAATTGACTTGTAGGCTACTAGCTGATAGACTATTTTTAATATTATTGTAACAGTAGGCCTACCTACGCAATAACCTCATATTGGGTTACTGACCACAATCCATTGAATTAACACTAAGTGTTGATTATTTTGCCTTGGGTAGAGCACAGAGCATGGAAGAAAACCTAGCCGTGGGAAGGGGTGCTGGAAGTGCTGCAGATACATTTAAATACATTTGCATAATTATATAATTACTCTTGTCTGTACAGAAATAAATGAAATAATTTAAAATACTACACCAGAGAGCATAATTTAGCCACAGATAATCAATAGCTTCTTTTTTTTAAATGCTGTTGATCATCAGCGCATATAAGCCTACAGTCGGAAAGCCTGCAATTGGAAAGCCCGCGGGAAATATCAAACAGCTGATTGTTGAGTTGTGGCTGTCAATGAACAGAAGGCAGCAGCTAAAAGGACTTTCTCAATATTTCAAAATACAATTGAAGGAAAAAACTGTTTGGATGAGTGAGTGCCACTGGAAAGTTGGTGGACTATAATTTCCTCCTCATGTTGTACAATCTGTGTCTCCACTCTTTTCATTGGCCTGTGTGCTATTAGTTGCATTTAAGACAGAGTCATTCGTTATATTTATGTCAGTGTCAGAGTGGGCTGTCATTTGTGTGGTACTAAAAAACATTATTGTAACGTCTCCAGTTGTGTAAAATTATGTAGAATTGCATGAAATGATTTTAGAAAATGACATTTTTCTCAAACCCGCAAATAGAATGATATGCATGCAAGGGCTGAGCCCGGAATGTTCCGAAACTCTGGTGACGCCCCTGTTGGTGGAGCTGGCATTGAGTCAGTCATGCGGTAGAGTAGGTAGCTAGCTAAGTAATCACCCAGGCATTTCCTTAGCAGCTAATGGGGATTGAGAATGGGAAAGGGTAAAGGGTGAACAGCAAAGCAGCGGGCAGAGTTCAGTGTCATTCCACATTAATGAAAGGTTATGTTCCCCTTACCATGCAACAGGGGCACGTTTTTCTAACGTATTCTATGAATAGGAAAGGGTGGTGTGGGGAGGGGGCAGAGTTGAATGATCCCGATTCCAGTTGTCTCTATTACATGCACCCTCACCCACCCATCTGCCCACCTTCTCCTGAAAGTGCAATGTTAATGTACAGGGCCGCGTCGTGTCCCTTTTAGATATGACTCCAATAACTATTTTAGACAACTATCAAGTATCTCTATTAACATTTGAGACTGTTACTTCCGCTCCTACTGCTCCTGGTATCTAAAAAATATAATATAACAATTTGGGTCTGATGTTCGAACGAGGAAACGGCGGCTGGTGTTAGTTGTCTATCAAGAAACAAAACTTATTTTGCCATCCAGTGTCACTTCTGGAAGGGTTTCATCTCCTCCCGGTGGACCATACATTTCCAAAGCTGCCGCAAATAGGCCTAGGCTATACCGAGTTTATTAATTAGATTAACGTAAGATTGAGTTGTTACTTGTGTTATCTTAAGATAAAACATTTTGTGTGACCCTTTTGAAGTAGCTTACATTTTTGTGACATTTGTAACATCTGTCCCTTACACTAGAATTAGTGGTGACTCGAGAAACCCTGCAGATCCTCAAGGAACACCGGGAGTTCCTCAAGGAACCATTGCTAGTCAATGGTTAATATTCGTACCTTCGTTTAGTTGAGGGGTTCTTGGGAGCAACCTTTAATGGTTCAATGTAGCAGCGGGTTTTTTTTGGGGGGGGCCACCCGTTAGAGTAAATGTAATTCCTGTTAATCTGTTCTGCTGTATTGTCATCACATGGTAAGGTTGAACACTGACAGTTTTGTAGCTTCAATGAGTTCCTCAAGAGCCTATGCAAATCCCGAAGTTGTAATAGTTACCACTTTATTACCGTATGTAATCATCAATGTTAATATTATTAATATTATATTAGAATATGTTATATGCATAAGTATTCAAGGAACATTTACATTTGCAGTGTACAAACTTAACATGATGAACAGGAATGACATTTATGCTAACAGGTGACAAAAAATAACTGTCTTAAAGCCATGTCTCAAATAAGCCACGCCTCCAATCTGATAAACTTCCACCTCTACAATATATTATTAAAAAGGTTTTAAAAAATGTACCCCTCCCATCACAAAAAGGTTCCGGTTTTAACCTTTAGACATGGGTTCTTCTACGACCCTTTAGGAACCTTTAGGAACCATTTTAAACTGGAAAGCAACCCATAAGGTTCTTCCAGGCACTTTTACTTCTAAGAGTGTAAGGTGTATCATAGCTTCACTCTACACTGCCCTTTTTTCACACATAGTTGATTGCAACTGTACTGTAAGTATTTTATATTTTATAGGCATTTGCCTCTAATTTGTAGTAGACATGTGGTGGGGTTATAAATGGTGTCATGTTTTATGGCTGACATTTTTACGTCTCATCAGAGCGGCGGAGTGGTACCTACAGTGGGTACCATGCACTAGCTGGTTGACTTCTGACCCTGATTGCCATCAGAGATCTAGGACTGGGCACCAGCTGGTCCCAGAGGGGGCATACCCTCGTATCCTCTCCTCTGATCCTCTCACCCCTCCTCACTAACACACCTCCCTCCCTCCCTCCCTCCCTCCCTCCCTGACCATAACTCACCTCAGAACGCTTGATCCTTTTCTCTGTTCTTTTGTTATTTCTTATTCTTGTTACATTGTCGAGAAGGAACCTGACTGTAAGCATTTCATGGTGTATACCATGTTTATTCTGTACGTACCACTAATAAAACTTGAAACTAAACCTTGTCCTAAGTGAACTTGAGGAAAAGCCTCACAGCTCAGTGACTGTGAAGTTAAAACAAATAGGCTACACAAACAAAACAATTACACTGAAATGGCTTTCTCTAAACCTGTATAGAGCAGTTATACATGACACAACTTGTAATAGAGATTCTTTACATTACATGTGTCACGAACCGGCTCGTAGCCCGTGACAAACAGGGAGACAAAGTGGAGATAAGGAATAACCAAATATACTTATTAACTAAAGCAAAACGATATACAATTAACAATGGTGTGTGTAGTCAGTAATCAGTAGTGTGAGTGAATACGTGCATAGAGGGGATAATGAGGAGGGTTGAAAGGTGCCAAAACAAACAAGCAATACAGCCAGAAAAAATGCCACAAACAAACTCCAACAGTGTGTCTACATGGAGAGAGTCTCCACAATGAATGGGGGAAAGGTGTATTTATCCCTGGGACACACCCGAGCCCAGGTGTGTCCCATTTCTCTGACGACCCTCCCGGCTCCGCCCACCGACATCCTATTAAGGAAAACAAGAACAAAGAGAGAATTCGGGAGACCGAGTGGAAGGGTCGTCACACATGATAACATGATAGTGGCAACATTTGTTGTATTTTGAAACACATTTATGACACTATCAGATAGTTGGACTAGTAAGTTATATTAGCTGCCAGTTATCATGTGCTACAATTTGAGTGAGCCTCTATTCTGCTCATTATAGTCACCACACCACATCCAAGCCCCTTCCCTCCAGTCATCACAAGCATGTAGCTAACATCTGTAGCTAATCTCCTTGACCTCCTGATTGGTCATAGGACCAAGCTTGGCATGTGTAACAGGGATCGGTCAGTGTGAGGAGTGAATGGGTGTAACATTATAGTCGTAGTCTCACTCCTGGTCCTGCAAACTAAAGAGAGACATGTAGAACACACAGACCACGCTTAAGGTCGTTATGCACTGATGACCCCTGACTTGTGCCGTAAACTTGGAATTCGGAGAGGAATAGTCCGGCAGACACCTCCAGCCAGAGGCCCCATTGCCCCCACCGCTCTCCTAAAGGAAGGGCCTGGTTAAAGAGAGAGACCAAAAGAGAGATAGTGTGTGTGTGTGTGTGTGTGTGTGTGTGTGTGTGTGTGTGTGTGTGTGTGTGTGTGTGTGTGTGCTCATGCATGTGTCTGGGGAAGAGGGGAGGGGTTGTGCTTTGGTATTAGAGGGCAAATGCTCCAAACCCAATGGGTTCTGATTACAGTACTGCTGCTGCTGCAGTCAAATGCCTGCTGGGTGAGACGTCCTGAAGGCACAGCTTAATGTTTTTCATGTGAAGTGAACACAACCAAAGTTCAGCACTTGTAACACAGCGCTCTGTTTTGTTTTTTAAACGGAATGCTGCATTGATAGCGTTGGCAGGAAACAAACTAAATGTTCTACCACTGTTTTAATGATAAATTCTGTTTCTCTTGAGTTGAATTATACATTCATCATTGAAGAAAGAAGTTGTTTAGCTATTTACTGTACTGTATTCAGGCCTTACCGACAGTAGAATGAGGGAATTTGACAATATTTAGTGCATGATATCCTGTAAACTGGAAGTCTTTTACATGACAGACTAAACTATGGTATGGCTGTGAGATCTATCTAATTGATGTCTTTGAGGCACGATAATAAGGTGAGAGAGTATTTATGGACTGTGAACTAAGTCCTAACACTATAAGGTTTAAATAGATATCTGACTGCTGGTTAAGGACCGCCCACAGGAAATAGAAAGATGAACAAAATCTAAATCTCAGAATTCACAAATGCTTAAGGGATTACGTATACTCTTGTACTCCAGGGGGAAAACATCTGGAAAAACATCTGGAAATTGTTATTGATCATAACTGGGAACAAAGGTGTCATGACTGGTAAAAGTGAAATAACTGAAAGCTACTCATTACTGGCAGGCAAGTTGTGACTTGTATAGTTGTCCAGCAGATGGCATATACAGTATGCATGTGAACAAATACATCATAAAGATCCCTCCAAAATATTTGTGTAATACAATTCAACTGGCAGAGCACCCAAACACATCTTTGTTTTTTATTTGAAATGTATTAGAATTGTTAGAAAGTAAAGCTGTAAAGCATAAAATGTACTGCTGTGTATTTGCATTTATAGTTTATCATTACATGAATTAAATGCTCTTTATATCGATAATACAAAGGATTACAATCTACAAAAACCTCCAGAATAGAGCATTGAACATACAATATTTACAGGCCACAGTCTCCGAAAAAATACAATATAAGCTTCCTTCTCAATCTCTTTCACAACGTATTAGTTTTGTAAATAATGGTGCATGATATCTATATAATTGACATTTCACAATTCCAAGGTCCTCTACTTGAATGTTCACACAGTGCATAGAACATGATTTAGAGGCAAACCCTTCTCCCTTTGCATGAACTGCTGTTGTAGGTAGCACTTACAAATAGGCACACTTGGCTTAACAAACATGGAAGATCTTGTACAAAAGTAAGCAGTTGCTAACTTAGTATTCGTCCTTAATTCAAACTCAAGACCCCTTGTAATGAAGTACTAACTGATTAGAATTAGTGAATCACTGAAATAAATAGAAAATGTATTTATGTTATCTAAGTTATCCTCCACACATTGTTTTCAAAACACAAACAGACACAAATTTGATGGTGCAGTTAAGAATTGTAGTAGTAACTCAAGGCGGTTCCATGCTTTGGTAATTAATCCATGCCTTTCTCATACCAGTTTCCAAAGAACTTGCAGTGTGCTTGATTGTGCTTATCGAAGTATATTAGTATCAATAGTCAAATATGCCTCTCCAGACAGAGATTGTGTAAGATACTGTACACACATTTAGGTGAGATTGATATTACAGTATAATTAAAAAGTAGTTAACATCATACTTTTTAATTAATAAACTGCATTCCTAACAAGGCTTCATTCTCCAGTACCAATTATGTTTCAAAGTGCTTTCCTACTGTATTCCCATGATTAAGACATTTCTGTGTTAAGACTTGTATGGTCATTTTAGCTGAAGCTTTTATCCGAAGCGACTCAGTTAACACATATAGTATGTGCCCCTTGTGAAAATCAAAACAACAACTCTGGTGTTACAAGTCCCATGTTCCAATAAACTGACCAGTACATTTTCAGTATGTGCACCTATTGTGAAAATATGTAATTATTAATTTCTATCATCATACTGCTTAATACCATAAATAATTGCAGATTAAAAACCGAACACTGTTAGTAGTACTTGTGTTACTACAGTACTTGTGTTACTACAGGAGGTTACTTGTGTTACTACAGTACTTGTGTTACTACAGGAGGTTACTTGTGTTACTACAGTACTTGTGTTACTACAGGAGGTTACTTGTGTTACTACAGTACTTGTGTTACTACAGGAGGTTACTTGTGTTACTACAGTACTTGTGTTACTACAGGAGGTTACTTGTGTTACTACAGTGATAAAAAATTAAAAATAGTTAGTTTCCTTAACAATAAAATCAATGGAAATATACAGAAAATTAAGAAAATCGACAATAACAAAAACAGACTTTATACAAATTTGACACATTATTGTGTTAGTCAGCAGAATTAGTTAATTATTGCAAATGCAAATAATTTCTCTGTCTGTTTTCTAAATCTGTTTCTTCATTAAAGCTTTTTGTCATTTTCATCTGTTAAAGGCACAGGTCATATAAAATATATTTTGGTTAAAAAATTTATAAAATACTTTGTATATACTGTACATCCCAGTGTGAGTATTTGCTTTAATACCTTAAAATGAACACACAAAAGTGTTGGCCAAATATGTCAAACCAAACTCCAGACAAATAATAACTTTTGAAAAATACAATTGTATTCACTGAAAAATATATTTAACATTTTTATTTGACATTCTTGTACTGGTATTTGGAAAATGATAGGGCAGTCATAAAAGTTTAGATTAAAATGACAGATGTACCAAAAGTCAGATTCCATATGAAAAAACTATAATACTTTTTGAGAATCCTGTTTTTGGAGTCATATTTAAACTTTGAAGATACAGCTGAAAATATTGTTGTCACGAATTCAGCCGAGGCTGCCCCTCCTCCTTGCTCGGGCAGGCTTCGGCATTCGTCATTACCGGAGTACTAGCTGCCACCGATCTATGTTTCTGTGTTCCACTTGTTTTGTTTTGATTGCACACACCTGATTCCCATCATGTTAATTTGTTTCCCTATTTTACCCTCTGGTTTCCTCATGGTGTTGTGCGTGATTGTTCGTTGTTTTGCTGTCTTTCTTGTGAGCTGGTATTTTTTCTTCCCTGCGTGGAAGATATGCTCTGTTACTTTTGTTAAGTAAAGTACGTTGTTTACTAAGTTCAGTGTCCTGCGCCTGACTCCTTCCTACCGCTACACACTGACGCATGACAATTGTTGGCCTTTTTTGTTGCAATTGAATACTGTAAGTGCAGATTTGACTTGAAGAATACATCTTGAATAAAAAAGGCATTAAAAATACGAAAAGGAACATATTTATTCAATTACTTTCAGGGCACTGAAAAGTATGTTTTTCTGTTAAGAGCAAAACCATAGGAGTCAGGTCCCTACTCTCTGGTGAGATGGAGTTTTATTGACTTATTATCATTTTATACATTGCTACCTATCTCTTAGGTTATTTAATTCTCAATTGATCTCAACTATATATTATAAGGGGTCTGCTACCACAACTGGGCTTGCATCCATAAATGGGCCCAAACTTTCAGCTCAGGCTTTGGTTATTGTCTTGCCAACAATAGCCATGATTTCTCAGTCAATACATTCCAGGTTATCATCATCAACATCAATTAAATTGACTGCTATATTCGTTATATCATCATCTCTGTGCAATCACTGATTCAGTGGGCTGGGCTCAATGTGTCCCTCAGAGACTTAGTTAGCGAGAACCCTGTCTTTGACCCAAGCCAAGCATACCAAAGTTGGACTTTGGAGATGAACAAGCAGTCTCATCGTCAAAGGCAGAATGGCACCATGATAATGCAGTTTTTATCCATTGTTTGCACTAGTTATTCAAACATCGGACTCTTTCAGCTGTGAGTTATGGATTGAGGCAGGGATGACAAAGGGGGCAGAGCGCAAGATGATCTCGTTCTGAAGCTCAACAGGCGGTGGCTCCTCAGTAGTCTCCTCAGGAGGTTGTGTCTCTGTCAGTTCTTTGCTGTCCCGTTTTTCAAAAGAATCCACTTCTACAACAGTTTCATCCCCTCTGAGTAATTGTTGGCTTCCATACAGTTTGCTCATCCTGATGGCAATCATTCCCTCCTTCTCTGGCGGTGCTTCGTCCTCCTTGGTTAACTCGTTCTTTTCGCAGTACTTGTAGGAAGCGAGTTTCATCGAACGTCTCAGCAGATGCTTACGATAGGCTCTCTGAATAACAACAGCTGCTACCTCCTCCCGCTTTCGCCTCAGGGTGGTGGTGATTGGCTCGTATGACACTTTAGAGGGGTTGTTGGCCATGAACTTCTCCTCCATGCTCTCCTTCATGGCGTCCATCTCCCCTGACTCTCCCAGCACCTCTGTGGTCAGTGCCAGCAGGATGTCCAGACAGTGGATCTTATCCCCAGGGACAATGGGAAGGTCCATGGTGATCAGCTTGATTGTGTTGGGTTTGGGGATCCTGAGCGGGTCTTTAAGCGTGTCACAGAACTCCGACAAAATGTCGTAGGCAATGAATTGTGAAGCGTCAGGGTCGAACTTCTCCCAGGTCTCGTAGAACATCTCGAAGTCTTCTTCACACAGAGGGTCGCCACTCTCCTCTGTGGCCACATTGAAGTTCTCAAGGATAATGGCAATGTACATGTTGACCACAACAAGGAAACACATGATGATGTAGCTGCAGAAAAAAAAAATTCCCAAACCAGGGTTGACACAGTTTCCTCTTACATCTGTGCCAGGATTTACCACGTACGGGTCACAGTCCGGAGGTCCACTATTCAGAATGGGTGAGAGGAGACTATCCCAACCGGCTGAGGTTGTGATCATGAACAGACAAATGATACTGTTGCCAAAAGTTTCAAAATTTAACATATCGTCTATTCCGGCCTCTTTCTTGACATACGCAAAGTTGGACATTCCGAAAATGGAGTAGATAAACATGATGAGGAAGAGCAGGAGCCCAATGTTGAAGAGAGCAGGAAGTGACATCATCAGGGCAAACATCAGTGTCCGGATGCCTTTAGCTCCTCGGATGAGTCTCAGAATTCGACCAATCCTGGCCAGTCTTAGGACACAGAAAAGGGTAGGTGAGACAAAATACTTCCCTATGATGTCCGCCTGCAGAATACCTGGAATGGAAAGAAAATATAAATGTTTTAGTTTTCATTATTATTACTATGTTCTTCAATCATGTTTCATTTCAGCAAAAATAAAACATTCTGTAGCTATACGACTAACGAATACAATAATTTCTTCATATTCACCAACGATGGAGAGAATGACGACGACAAAATCCAAAATATTACATCCGACTGAGAAAAAATATTGTCGCAGTGCGATCAATTTGAGGATACACTCTGTGGTGAAGATGATGATAAACACCAGGTTGAGGAGGTAGAGGATTTCCTCCTTCTCCATGCTCTGGTCATCCGTCTCCACCATCATCGTTACCATGTTGAGGCAGATCAGCACCATAATGAAGATGTCGAAGAATTGTTGGGTGATCAGGTCGAAGATAATGCCTGCGAATTTGTTCTTCAACCGCCAATCAATAGAGACCAAGAGAAGGAGAGGAAAAAACAGACTGAATTAGAGGTATGTTAGGTCAATGACATGCACATGAAAGTAACAGTATGTCTCTATACTTTGGAGGGAAAGATATCTTCATAAGGGAGGAACAGAAGTGGACAAGAGCAGATAGTGATAAAGTCTTGCCAATACCTTTTCATTGAGTGGTACTGTATTTAGCTGAATGTTTTCCTCTTAAACATTGGTGATGATGCACTTGTATTTGAACTAAGAATACTGTCAAGTAAATGATGTGTAAGGGCCGGTCACGTAGTACAGTAGATGCTATGGAATACACACTCTTTTGTTCTACATCTTCAGGCAACTTTCCAGTAATCCAAGCAGGTGCTTACCTGGGGTCTAGGAATGGGTTTCTGTGGCTTCTTGGAACCAAGCTTTCTCATGGCATTGTAGTATTTCTTCTGTTCCTCTGTCATGAAAATATCTTTCCCTCCAAAGTATAGAGACATACAGTTATTTTCATGTGCATGTCATTGACCTAAAATACTTGTAATTTATATGTGTATAGTCTTGTTGTGATAACATGTTTTAGAAATAGCTTGTTGTGTTTGGTATTTAGTGATATTAGGCTGCAGGAAGGCTACTTATCTTCTTCTTTTGTTGGTTGAAGTTGTCGATAATGACACCAATGAAGAGATTCAGGGTGAAGAAGCACCCAAATATGATGAATATGACAAAGTAGATGTACATGTAAACACTATCCTCAAATATGGGCTGGTCTTCCACCTTGTTGGAACAGAGAGTATAAAATAATAAGAAATGAGTTTGTTTTCATACTCATCTCAAAGTTTCTAATTATTATTACAGTATAAAGAAGGAATTGTCTTACAAAACGTGAATCCACAGCTCCATACATTATTTCCAACCATCCTTTAAATGTTGCCTGGACATGAGAGAAAAAAGGTATCCTGTAAGATACAGTAGGGTGTGTATATGTAACACAGGCCAACACCCGTATTACCACTTTAAACAACTTCAACTATACAACGGTAGTAGGCTACATGATTAGTAAGCAAACTGTTTTGAAACTCACTACTTGCAGGAGAGAGAGGTAGCCCATGGGCACGTTGTCATAGTTGACCTTTGCGTTCATCCAGCGCACCTCGTCATTACCCTCCATCATTAGTTGATAGCATTCAGTCTTGTTATTCACAATGTCAGCAGAGAACCTCTCCACAGCGGTGGTGTTGAAGCAGAAGTAGTACTTCCCAGCAAACAGGTTGACTCCCATGATGCTGAAGACGAGCCAGAAGATGAGGCACACTAGAAGCACATTAAAGATGGAAGGAATGGCCCCCACCAGAGCATTCACCACCACCTGTGGAAAGGAAATCACGTGTCCAAATTTGAGAAAACCTGCAAATCAAATCCCTAGTAAAAGCAGAGCTTGTATAATATGTAAAAATGGATTGATGTTGAACTGCTGAGACTCAATGGAATGAAATACTCTTTGGATTGTTGATCAATTCTCGAAAATGTATCAGCAAATGCATTTCATTTCTAGGGCCACAGATTTACATGTTTGGGACTCATCAAATACACCACCTCTCTTGTTTCGGTTTTCTCGACTTGTGAAAGACTACTCACCCTCATTCCCTCAAATCTGGACAGGGCGCGGAGGGGCCGCAAAGCCCTTAGCGTTCGAAGAGATTTGATTGGTCCAAGTTCAGCGTAGCCCAGGATGTTAGCCATTAAGCTAATCAAAGACACCTAGGAGATTTGGGATGTGACAACAACATGTGAAGATTAGCTTTCTCAAATGAACTGAAATATTGATCATTTATTTTGATTAAATATTACTTATAAATGTTGATAAAATATAATATAGCTTATTATGACGAGGATGCACTACACAGATGGACTGGAGTTATTACTTTGACTTACATCCACAATGAGGAAGTCCAGCCAGCACCATGCGTTTGTGAAGTAGGCCTGGAATCCGTAAGCCACCCACTTCAGGAGCATCTCAATAATGAACACGTAGGTGAAGACTTGATCAGCATATTCCAGGATGATTTTTATGGTCCTGCGCTGTTCAATGTATATGTCTTCAAAAGCCTGTGAAGAATTTAGCAAAAGATTATGGTATTGTATGTTGGTATTTGTATTGTACTGAAAGAAGGCATCACTCTATCTCACCAAAGATCCACTACTCATCAGGATCATGAAGATGATAAAGGTCTCAAAGTAGTTGTGCTCCACAATGAGGAAGCATGTTTTCCTGAAGTTCCACCAAGTCTTTCCTTTGCCCGTGGTGATGTCAAAATCAAGGCAAGGGCATCGTCCAATGCATTCTACCAGAGATTTGAGGAAGGAGAACATATTAGTAAGATTAGGCAAAACAACCCTCGCACCCCATCTACCAGTACTATCCACATTTGTCATTTCAGAATTACAATCAATGCAGGTGAAAAAACCCATTCATTAATGGAGATGAGTGGGGTGCTAATGAATTCATGTTCACTTAAAGTATATTCTACCACTTGAACCATACAGAGAACCGCCATTTAAATAGGCAGTATAGCCATTGTCATATCAGCCAGGGAAATGCAACATGACTCAGACAAATCTACACTAAGTAAGCGAGCCCTGCTCTCTCCCTCTCTCCTCCTGAACAACTACAGTTGAAGTCGGAAGTTTACATACACTTAGGTTGGAGTCATTAAAACTCATTTTTCAACCACTCCACAAATTTCTTGTTAACAAACTATAGTTTTGGCAAGTCGGTTAGGACATCTACTTTGTGCATGACACAAGTCATTTTTCCAACAATTGTTTACAGACAGATTATTTCACTTATAATTCACTGTATCAAAATTCCAGTGTACAAAATAGATGGCATCATGAGGAAGGAAAGTTATGTGGATATATTGAAGGTCGCAAATGGGACTTCCAAATGGACAATGACCACAAGCATACTTCCAAAGTTGTGGCAAAATGTCTTAAGGACAACAAAGTCAAGGTATTGGAGTGGCCATCACAAAGCCCTGACCTCAATCCTACAAAAAATGTGTGGGCAGAACTGAAAAAGCGTGTGCGAGCAAGGAGGCCTACAAACCTGACTCAGTTACACCAGCTCTGTCAGGAGGAATGGGCCAAAATTCACCCAACTTAATGTGGGAAGCTTGTGGAAGGCTACCCGAAAGGTTTGACCCAAGTTAAACAATTTAAAAGCAATGCTACCAAATACTAATTTAGTGTATGTAAACTTCTGACCCACTGGGAATGTGATGAAAGAAATAAAAGCTTAAATAAATAATTCTCTCTACTATTATTATGACATTTCACATTCTTAAAATAAAGTGGTGATCGTAACTGACCTAAGACAGGGAATTTCTACTAGGATTAAATGTCAGGAATTGTGAAAAACTGAGTTTAAATGTATATGGCTAAGGTGTATGAAAACTTCCGACTTCAACTGTATATTAAGTAAGTAAGTAAGTAAGTAAATCATTGGAGGCTGATGTAGGTTAACTACAGTATACTGAACAAAAATAGAAACGCAACATGCAACAATTTCAAAGATTTTACTGAGTTACAATTCATAAAAGATGAATGGCACAATGGGCCTCAGGATCTCGTCACGGTATCTCTGTGCATTCAAATTGCCATCGATAAAATGCAATTGTGTTCGTTGTCCGTAGCTTATGCCTGCCCATACCATAACCCCACCGCCACCATGGGACACTCTGTTCACAACGTTGACATCAGCAAACCGACCGCCAACACGATGCCATACATGTGGTCTGCGGTTGTGAGGCCGGTTGGACAGACTCCCAATTTCTCTAAAACGACGTTGGAGGCAGCTTATGGTAGAGAAATGAACATTCAATTCTATGGCAACAGCTCTGGTGGACAGTCCTGCAGTGCATGCCATGCCAA